ATACTTCTATTGATAATTACTTCTGTTAAAACCACTGTAATCTGCTGTCAGAAAACTAGAATTTTATGGAATTAGGGTTTTTCTTACCGCTGCTTCTAAAAGTGCTGAAGCTGTGTGTCAGTACAGCTGTATGTTGGCGTCTTTGCTTCACACGAGTGCAATTGTAGAGGAATTCTTTCGTGCTGCAAGGGTGCAGTCACAGCATATTGATGTAAATAAGTGGAAGAGCCGGTGAGGTGATCTTAACAGGGAAGTATAGCTCTTGATTTTTCATTTCTGTGCAGTGATACATTCAGCTGTATTTAAGTGCAGACACTTAATTCGTCTCTCCCTTAATCTGTGTGGATTAGCAAGATTCTTAAAGGTATGGGTAATCCGTTAAAGAATAGTCCTGCTGCCACTGTTAAAGAATGCAAAATCAGTCTTTCATTTTCTTAAATGTAAGTTAGCTCCTGAATTAGCAGGAGTGTGATTTTAAAAAGCACAACCAGCTTTTGTTCTGCAAAACTGGTGTTTCTAAGGGTCTGCTTTAGGTGCATATCATATGGTACTTGCACTAGGTTATTACTGTGCTRTATGGTGTGCATGGGCAAAGCTGCTTCTGCCACATACTTGATTTGGCTGACCTGCAGATATTTGTGAGCCACAGACACATAGCTTCCTTAGTATACAGTACATTTAATTGCTTGTAATCTGTCCTGACGTACCACAGACACTGCTCTAGCTGTTACTGAAAGTTCACTTCAAATAACTCTGTCAAACTGCTACTCTGTGAATGTTTTTGGGGGTAGAGTTAAGAAAKTTTCCTAACTTTTTAGCTGGGCTGAGCAGTTATTCTTTTATCCAGGGGTACTTAAATGAACAGTCCCATGTTTTATGCTTCATAATTTTAATCTACCAATCTGGCAAAAAGCCAGAGAATAGACTCAGACRGCTACAATATTTTGCAACTTTCTTTTAAAGCTGGTGCTCATTTTGATGACAGGAAAGACTTGTGAAATGACAAGTGATTCGAGAATTGCTTACAGATTGTCATATTTTAATGGTTACAACATGGTGAATTTTCATTGCTAGCTCTGTTTTGAAGAGCTGAATGTTTAATTATAATTCTCTGATATTCTTGTGTTGTGTTAGATCCTTCTGTATGTGATTTGATGTGGGCACACACCACCGCCGTAGCTGAGTGGKGAGCGGTAGCCTCTCATTACTGTGCTGTCACTGTAGATACTCTGTAGTCATTACCTGTTACGTTCAAGCTTTAACTAAACAGATGTAATGATAGTCCCATGGTTGTTTTGATAGCTTTGAGGGTTTTTTCCCTGAAAAATTTCTGGACTTCTTACTTTGGAAATTAGGGGTGCAATCATTTAGTTCATGGTTATCAGTAAATGGCTCCTGTTTACCTTTTCTATAGCTGCTAAAGATTTTTGAAGACAGGCAGCTTTTCCTTTTTTTGTAAGCTTCTTAATCAGTGTTTTAAAATTTAATGTAGTAGRTGTAAATTTGAATCTTCAGGTTTTTGCATGTAAGGGTGATTATTTATTCTTCCTTTACAGATAATTGGCTGCCATTTTAGGACAATTCCAGTGAATGAAAAGGACACCCTAACATACTTCATCTACTCAGTGAAGAATGACAAGAACAAACCAGATCTAAAGATGGATAGTGGGGTTCATTAGGAAGAAAAGGTTGGGACTGAGACTCAAGCTGCAAATCAAAAGACTGAGGTTTTGTTGATATGCAAAAGCTTTCTTTGTAACTTTTTCTTCTGATAGAGTTTGCCTGTTTTATTTTTCATAACCTTGCTGTTATGAAATGACATGAGATAAATGACAAAAAAATGAGATGTTTGAAAACCATCTCCTATGAAATAAATTTCCTCAGCAAAAGTATTTTAAATAAATATCACTGATATTGTTACTCAAATGGGTGTGTCTATAATTTTAATGAGTTGGACTTGATGATCCTSATGGGTCCCTTCCAACTCAGCATATTCCATTATTCTATGATACTTGTACCTAATAGTTAAGCTTTGATGAACTATGTAATAATATTAAAATATTTTTCAATTAAAATGTGCCAAGGATATATTTGTAAATGTACCTCAGGTACTCGTGATGCAATGCCTTTAAAAAAAATATGTAGCAGACTTGGGAGTAGGTTCTTTTTCCTAAGGTAAAAGGTTTTACATTACAGTTCTGGTTGTTAGCTGGGCAGGTGTGGCTGAATAACATTTTCTTTTTTCCCCTTTGGAAATAAGAATTGATGGAAGATTTTCTGATTTGTTTAATTTTGTCACTGCTGAGATACGTGCTTCCAAGCACTGAAGCCTTCCTGCTCCTATATTAAAATGGACAAAAAATGCAGCTCTTGAATTTCAAAGCTGTAAGTACAGGTGAAGAGACTGCTGCAGCTTACTGTGCTGAGAAATCCTTCAACTTGGTAAGAAATCCTTTACCTGCTGACTTCTCCATTTGTCTGCATGGACTGCTGCTAAGAACTTATTGGAGAATGAGAGTTGAGTCTGTGGGGTCAGTGCAGTCTCTTCTAACAGGCATAGTGTTGCTTTTTCATTGCATGCATTAGCTCAGGCCTATTCCAAAGGAACACTCCCCTCCCAATAAACCCAAAACTTCTGGTAACATGTGAGAATAACATCCAGCAATACTTAGGCTTTTAACTGATTGTCTTAGAAAATTCTGATGTTGAAGATGGTATTATGAGTTACTTCTTTTATTGTCAGCTATTGTGCCAGTCTAAATGTGTGGTCTATGGAATATGATTTCTTTTTGCTTAAAGCTGTGTGCATATGTTGAAGAAAAAGCTGAGGGAAAATAGTTTTCATCTTAAAGCTGTGGAGGACATGGCTTCAGCTTGTTCAGTTAGCAGTTATTGAAACTCCTAACCTTATCAGATGTTAATAAGCTTTTTCTTAATTTGGGAAAAATGAGAAAGCAGTAGTTCCATGATTAATCTGCTTGATGTTAATCTTTTGAGGATTTTTGAGAATTAMTACTTTGCTGGCATCACTACAATTAAGATGCTTCCCTTTGCTTTTTGTGTTCTGTGATGCTTGCGTAGAACTAAATGATGATAAACCCTAACCTCAAACTGGCTGCCTTCCCAGTATTTCTCAGTGGTATGATTTCTTTCAYTTGTACTGCTTTATGTATTTCCACAATACAGCTCTGCAGTGCTGGCCTAAGTTCAAGACAGTGATATCTAGCTAGTGACAGCTAAAATYGGAGATATGTATGTTTTGGTGTCCATTTCACTACAGGGACTGAATTTGTTTGCTAAATATCCTTTGCACACATTCAGCTTCTTACCTTCAAAGTGGGATTTGCATCAAAAAACAGGGAACCTGGTGATGGATAGGACATCCGAAGGATAAAGACTTTTTCTGAGTGAATGACAGGGTTGAATGTTCTCACCTAGGCCTGGCAGGACCTGTAGAAGCTGTGTGAGGGAAGGAGATAGGGGAGAGAAACAAAAGCAAATTTCTATGGAAAGTCATCTTAAAGTAAAATTTAAATGACCCTATATTGCTTCATGTGGAAACTGGCAAAGTTTTGCTGCAATGTATTGTGGATTTTCCAGGAGCGATAGAAGAAAGGTAACTGAGAGTCACCAACTTTAGTACCCAGCTTTGTATCGGCCTTATATTTTTTGCTGCTTTGCAAAGCTGTGAATGCCAGGCATATACAATGTGATTCTTGTAGAAACTAGATGGCACAAACAACACAAGTTATGTACCCTAGAAGCTTATAGAGGACTTTACTCAAGGGCACATAATATAAGATTTTTTGGCAGAGCTCTGACTTCTGGTATTTTTACTGGGTTGCCAGGTTTATGGGGTTTATTTTACTATCATTGATTATTTGGTAGGAAGCACAAATTACTCAGGAATGATTACACAAATGAGGCTTAAAAAGCCTGGTGACAGAAACTGTTTAACAGTCAGTAGGGCAAAAATAGTACATGCAGATTTACTTGAAACGTTTATTATTAGCTGTGTTTAATCTCCCCCTCACCCAATGTCCAACTCTTGTTTACTAACAGGAAGAAAAAAGATCATGGTGATATTTCATACTGGTATATGAAGTAAGYCTGGTAAATTGGTGGTAACAGTTTGGGTTGGTGTGTAAGATTATTTATTAGGTGAACAGTGCACTTCCTAGTAGAGAAGATTCCACAGTTCCTTCAATACTGCACACTTTCCATGTGACTGACTAGATATAGATAGCTAAAGAGTTTGTGTGTAAGGCAACAAGTCAGGCTTGCTGCCTGTAAACCTCCCTTGTTCAGGTGACTCTCCTTAAATTTATGTGGTCACCTCTCAACACGTGCCAATACAGATTGCAGGATAAGAGGAAAATGGTGACTCTTCTTATCCATTTCCTAGATCACAATACCTCTTTAAATATTAAGATGATTATCACTGTGTTTCCTCTTCTGTAGCTATATCCTTACAGGACTAGCTTAAAAATAGAAAGCCATCATTTTAACTTAATTTTGGAGTACTGTATTTCAAACAAATCTTGATTTAAAAAATCTGCTGTTCTGATACTTTCAAATGTTCACTGCTCAGATTAAGCAATTGAAGGGTTTAGAGATTTCATAGTCAAGGCAAGTGACCAGTAAGGCCTAAGACCTAAGTGTGCTTTAGTACTATTAATATCAGTTACCACTTTTTTTTCATTCCAGTGAAATAGTTGTGAATATAGAAATACATGCCTTTTGTATGTGCATGTATTTTAAGAAGCCTGAATAGAACATGGGAGCCTATCTGCAGAAGTGTCAGGGACTGAGTGGCTTCAGTTTAAAACAGTGTTAAAAGTGTGATGGCAATAATGCAATGGGAAGCTGCACTGCCACAAGTTGCTATGAAGGTCATGTTCCTYGCAACATGAAGGTTGAGGCTTGAAGTTTCTTTGCCCAGCCTTGTTAAGAATACTGGACTGAGTAAGAAGAATTATGCTTTTTGCTGGGGGATGCATATTAGGATACATTAAGAGCTTGTACAGTCTCTTAAACCATGGAAATGGCTTTATGGAAATTAGGTCAGCTACCTACTTCTTATGTATTTGATATTCCTTAATGGTATAGAAAGGAAATTCCTTCTACACTGTAAAGTGAGGCAGTGACTTGTGGTTAGAAAGGAAATTTTTATTGGTGGTAGTGGTTTTGTTTTTCCCCTTGAAAACATTATATTATTGTAGAATCAGGTCTCTTGTCTTCACTTGCAGATTTGAATCATTGACTCTGGCAGGGTATCACAAAAGATATCTTTGGTCCAAAGAAAATATCCCTGAAAGATACAATCGCATATTTAAATTAGATCATTGGTTTATTAGAGCTTTAACATGGCACACATTTCCCATTGTAGATGTTTTATAGCATGTATTGCGATATATGTGGGATTGCTCTGTTTGTGGGATGTCCTTCCAGCAATGCAAATGTAACGGCAGATCTGGATGAAGATACTGCATTTCTACCTCTGCTGGCCTGCTGTGGAAGCAATGCCAAAACATTCATTGGCTGACCATCTTGCCAGAATTCCACCCTGGTATTTTAGCTTTGAGAAAATAAACTTACCAAATAGATTATATTATCAAAACAAAGGACTTTGGCATTTGCACAAATACTGTTTTAGTGCAGTTTGTCCTGTGAGCACACATGCAAAGCACATCTTGTTTACTTCAGGATGGTGGAAGAAATAAAAGGCTTTTTTATGCTGCTCAGAGGTTGAAGCTAGAGACCCAAAGTGCTTCAGGATGAGGACACAGTCTGGTTTTAGGGAAAGTGAAAGAGGAAAAACTCTTAAACCCTTCTCTCAGTTTGGATATGAGATCTTTTAGCTTTAGAGCTATTTCCTGCTTGGTTTAACTTGAGTCCCCTACAGGAGTGCTGAAAAGTTGCCTTTATTGGCTTTTAGGCGACTTGAGAAATGAATGTTAAGAGGAGCACATGTAAAAAAACATTTTTTGATTGCCTATATAATGCCATCACATTTTAGTGCCTCTGAAGTATTAATAAGTTTTGAACTACGGATATTTCTAATCCACATTTACTGGAAAACAAAAGATATTGCTGAAAAGGTGARTGAAATAATACCTCCTAATATATTTTATTACTTAAACCCAGTATGGGCTGGTAGTGTTTAACTCAATTGTTGTTTCTATATAGCGACAAAACTCCTATGTTCAGTGGCAACTTCACTGTTCAGCTTTGTCAGCAGTGCCAGAAAGTCAGGGAAGTGTTCATGTTCTTGGGCTAAATCTTTTCCTTGCCTTATACAAGTATTTTTGATCTTCTGTGTCCCTCTTTTTACTTTCTGCTTTTAACAGCTATCTTTACAGAATCATTTGTTCTAATGATATATGTTCATGCAATTTAGATAAGCAACACAGTTCTCTTTCATGGAACAGAAATCAAATAGTTTTGATTATGGTCCTGAAAACATTTTCATTGCAAAATGCTGTGAATAAGAGTTTGATGTAGTTAAACTTAGTTTGGATTGAACAGAGGAGTCAATTAAATGCTGAAGTCCCTGTTGATAGGACAGGGAGCTTTCCAAAATACACTAAGCAAGTCCTAGGTGAACCCCTGAAAAACAAATCCTCAAAACTGACAGTAACAGAGAATTTGATATATTTTGATATCATTTCAAACCCTGTGAAGTGGCAAATTTCTTTTAAATGATAGCTTATTCCACCTATGGAAACTTTAAAAYGCTGGAAATATGATGGGCAGTTGTGAAGAACTATATTTACATGAAATGAGTGTTGTCTTACTTTGGGCAGCAGAGCAATTCATTCAAGTTGCAGTAACAGATCACCTCACAGCCCTTCCCTTCCCAAAAGTGATCTTGCAGACCATCATCGATGTGTCGAAGGTTGTCCTTGCCTTCAGGGATGGTGTGACAGTTGTGGTCCTTGAGGGCCCTCTTGTAACAAGAAGGGCGCTGGGAAGGCATCGCGGGGGTACCCAGGAGGGTGCTCAGCAGAAGCAGCGCCGAGACCATCTTCATTTTTGCCAAGCTTCCCACAGCAGGGTGCTAAAGAGAAATGAGGTATGTGACACAAGTGTTGCTGCTGAGCAGACCTCTTTCCCTGATTTGCCTTGTGCCTTGCATTTTTCTTTCCTGTGAAGTTTTGGACGTTTGAGCCTGAGTGCTGGAGAGTGTTTTCTCCTAGGAGGTAAATAATATTRCAGCAGAATTGATATTCATTGCTTTCTGTACAACCTTGGGAATCCTTTCCTTGGGAATTGAGGTTTCTGATGCTGGCAATTTTGTTGTTTCTTTGGCCTCTCACCTTGAGAAAATTGCTTTGAGCTGGCTGTGTTTTCTCGGTGGTGTAAATGATTGTGTCGATTGCTACCAAACCAGAGGAAAACGTCTGGYGGTGTGTCTTTGCCTTCCTGGCCACTTTGCCTATCAAAACAAGTGTCACTCGTGTAAAATAAATAGTATCCTTCCCCATCAAAGCTGTGCAAGAACTGCTTGCTCATTGAATCCTCTGTCATGGGCTGTGTGAGGAGCTGAGGCGTTAAGCAGCCGTGGAAGCTGAAGCTGTCTGCAGTGCTGCCAAGTGCCACTGTCCTGTGCTCGGTATGATACAGCATTATGGACAATCTTCATTATTGGGATTTTTTTAGTACTGCAGCCTGCTTAGTTGAGTCTTGCTGCTAGAGGTCATTATGATTTAATTGCCTGTTTGAAAGGTGGGATAAATTATCCCTTTGCCAAACTCTCCTGCTGGCTACTAGCCTTTCCATCGTTTTGTTTAACATGAGCTTTGCTGTTCTGTGCTGCTTTGCATGGTCTGACCATGCCACAAAGCTTGGGATCCTTGAACTTGCATTCACTTTTAAATTAGCCTCTTCAACTAAGCTTTTATTGGTATTAGGAGAGTGGGTTTTTTACCTTTTGTCGTGCTGAACCAGAATGGCCCTGTTATCTTAACTGAATTTAAATAGGAATTCTGCTCTGAAAACAAACCTGAAGATGACCAGCTTTGTGCAGCACTCTCCTGGTGTGCTCATTACTGTTCTTGTCTCAGACTTAAGGAGGACTTTGGTGTCCTTCATCCTGTTGGCACTTTGGAAWTGATCCCCAGCCCTGGTCTTCCTTGTGGGGCTGCAGATTAGAATGCTGTAGGCTAACCTGAAAATAACAGGCTGTAAACCAATATCTAATCAAAGACTAGCAAAGGTAAAGTTAAGATGGCAGAGCTATTATTGAGGTATGCCAGCTACAGAAGTGGCTATAATATGGATTACTTGGTGAAAATCTTGACATCACCCTTGAATAATGAACAGTAAGCTTTTAAATATATAAACTACAGTATTTTTTAGTCATTTTTCTAAGGTGGTATTCTTGCTCCCACAGCTATCTTGCTGATCTTCCATTTCTTCATTCAATGAATAACATAGCAGAAACTGTAAGAAAATCTGGGAATTTAGATTCATATTAGGAATAAAATACAACATTTYCATACATTTTGGTTACTTATTTTTACATTTAAACTTGGGGGTTTTTGAACACCAGTAGCCAAATAAAATATTAAAAAGTGGCCAAGTATTAAAGAACCTGAGTGAAGGTATGCTCTTCTGTATTTTTTGGGCTTCTGTTAAAGAAGCAAAATTCATTTAGTAATTCATTTTCATTTCCATGAATTTGTATGGGAACTTTTGAGTAGAAGACTCCTATAAACTACTAGTAATGGAGCCTTGGGGATCTATTTTTGATTACCTCAGCATGTAGTATTGAATAACATATTATGTTTATTAGTTTTAGACCTCAAAACTACTACTCAAATAAAGTAAACATTGTTCTAACCTTGCCTGATGTTGTATTTTAGACTTGAGTGAAGAATCTGTATTATTGTATTAATGGTTTTATTTTGTAGGAGTATAAACACTGCAGTTATGAGGGTTCTGCTCAGAGTGGCCTAATGTTTAAAGAGAACAAATTTGTTTATATATAACCTAGATAAATGCCAATGTCAGGGAGTACATTTAATCTTCTGTTCAAATAGCTGAGCTTAATTATTTAAGTATTTAATGGAAGAAAATTTTCCAGGAAAGAGAAAATTAGGAAGCAGGGGTTTTATACCTTTGTTTCCTGTGATTGGATTCTTCTGTGTTCTTCCACTGAGGATGAGGCATTAATGATATCCTGTTCTTGTGTACTTTTTGTTTTATTTCTAATAATTCAGGTGATTTTTCCCTACCTGGTGTTCAGCTGAAATGCTCATTTGAATCTGTTGCCAGCTGCCTATCTCCTCAAAATTTATAGGTATTCGCTTTGTCCTGAAAATAGGCACATTCTCTACACACTGTCAAATTTCTAGATTCAAAAATCACAACCTACAGTTTTTAAAGTGATTCTGTAACTCACTACTTGCCTTGAAAAATAATAGGATAGTGCTGTAGTGCAYCATCAAGATGGCTTCTGTGTGGGTGCCAAAATCAGTATTAGCAAAGTCAGCATTCTGGAGAGCTATGGATAGACAGTTTCTCTGACCAGTTATGCATCTTAACTACGTTAAGCATTGTTATTATTCAGAAAAAAAAATATAATTTTGTTTCTGTTTAAAATATTTCCTCTGGGGGCTTTTTGCAGAACATAATCAAGGAGAAACTTCTAATCAAAAGACCTTTCAAAAGGTTTTTTTTTTTTTTTTTCCCTGGGGGAGAACGGTGTCTATTTGCAGATGAAAGATTGCCAAGGAGCTGAAGTGTTTCATCAGCTCCCTGCACAGGATCGATGTTGGTAGACTTGACAGGCCTTTCAGATGCAGCATCTCTGTCTGACACCTGCTGCAACTTCTTTTCCTGAATGTGGCTGGACAGATGTTGGAGTGTCACTGATTGTCTAAGTAAAGAACAGAGCTAATATGTGCACATTTATTTCAAAATGAGAGTCAAAGATATTGTCTGATTTTGCATAGCACAGAAGATAGTATTTTCTCATAAAACAAGTCAGAAAAATGGGATGAACAAATCCAATCACTAAAGTGGCTCAAAGACTCACTCATTGCCAGTCATCATCCTCTCACATTTCTTTATTTTATGAAATCTTCTGTAAAGATAGCAATGCCAGGCATGCTAAGCCTGACCAGCTTTCCCTGTCAAGACTGTAATTTCAAATTCTAGCAGGAGTAATGCCATCTGAAAATGCTGAACATGAGCTCCTTGCATTTGTGTAAGTCCTTTTCAGTTAATTATTCTGATTACTTTGATATTGTGCAAGTAAAGTTTGAGACCAAATGCACCTGGGAATATATGTGCTTTGAAACAGTTTTGAGTTTTTCCTGAAGGAAAAATGTTACTTTAGGAATATGCACGGTGAATCAGGAATTAGTGCCATCCCTGTTTGTTCAGCTGAGAGTGTTTGAATTATCTTGCCAGGCAATTTGGCACCATCTAGTCTTTGGATCTGCTAGATGCAGAGGTAATCAGAAAAGACTGAAGAGAAAACCACCGAAGAGAAAACCCCATCTTTTAGCYTCCTTGTCCAAGAACAACAGGGTAATAGCTCATGGGGAAGTGATGCCCTTTAAAGGTCACACAGTAGCAGTAGGAGCTCAGGTATTAGAAACAGGGAAAACTGAGAAATGACACAAAATGTGTGTTTTGGCACTTCTACAGATCCTGCGTGGTTGGGAAAATATAAATATTTACAGGTTGGTCTATCAACCATTTAAAATATCAATCCTTCATTAAGTATACCCTTCTTATCCCCTTAAGTAGGCTGTATTTCTAGTTGCCTAATGTTGAAGACATGAAATACATTCATTGGAACACTTGTATGATTTTTTCCAGTCTGTCCAGTGGCATGTGCCAGGTCAACAAGTTGCACTTTAAAAGCAAATATATATTGACATTATTTCACTTATTCAAAAATAAATGTATTGTGGTACTTATCTGTTTGTCAAGTTTGCCTTTCACAAATACCTGTGAGATGCTGAGTATTTAGTATTTAGGTGTGTTAGTGCTTGATGGGTTTATTAATGCATTACTAAAAAAATTACACAAGAGATGCATAACTGAGAAAATTGTGAAGAATTTTTTCCATTAAAAAAAAATCTTATAGCTATTTTGCTTGAACAGTTGATTCACTGTAAGGACAGCAGCTATTCCACTGAGAGCAAATTCAGTGAATTACTGCTTTGTAACTATCATCAATACCATGTTTTTTTCCCAGAAACTGAGTTYTCATTAAACCCTATTCAGTTGTCTTTAAGACAGCAATTCATTGTGAAGACACCTCTGTCCTTATTATATTGAGCAGTGGAAGGTAATATAGCATGATTAGTGACTTCAGGTGTTAATATGTATTTTCCAACTTTGAAGAAAAGCAAGATAGTAAAAGCATTATTTTGAGCTGGATCACAGACATGCAACTGTCTTGAATAGTATCTCATGCTAACAATATACTAGCCTCTCTCAAATCTTCTTTATGTCCCTATATATATTTCTAATTCTGTTCTCTGTAACTAGAAGGAGCAGAACAAGCACGCAAGGATAATTTCAGGAGCAAAACATACCTTTATCCTCTGGTTCATTCCCTTCCACTTTCTTGGCAGCTCTATCTTTTTAGATGGACCCAGAGAGAGCWAGAGCTAGCAGGGAAGAGAGGAAGGAGGGAGGGCTGATGGGAGATGCAGTACAAACAGCCCTTTGTCTGTCCTGACTTCTGCCTGGGACTGACGACTGCTGTTCTCCAGCAGCGGCTCAGAATATGGGCTTCAGGAGCCACCTCTTCCAGTCACTGCCAGCCTAGGCTTGGGGCAAAAAAAAAGCACATCCTTTCCAGCAGGAAACAGTTTAGTTTGTCCAGGGTCTGAGGCAAAGGGGTCTCCTCAAAGAGCAAAGCATAACATGCAGAACAAGAAGAAAGATCCTGTGGAATAACTGTGTCTTGCTTGTGTAGCATGAGCAGGCTGGGGGAAATGGGAAGGGGCAGTTTTCTGGGGTTGCACAGCCAGAAGAACATGGTTTCTGGGCAGATGCCTTATTTTGCATTTTGTGGACAAGAATAGACCTACTTAACCATCTCATGGAGTACTTTAATTTTTCACTTTGGGATSCTTTCATTTTTCTGAAATGGACATAGTAAAAAACACCTTAATTGTTGTAACCAGATTTCTAGTGCAGCATACTCAATGATGCCTTGAATCAAGTTCTTTACTGAACAAGTGTTTAATCAAGAGGTAAAGCATAACATTGGAACAGCATTTCAAAGTTATTTTAGACGAATACCAGATTAATCAAATGATCTGGTACCGTAAAAACACATCAAAAGGTTCTTAAATGGAATTGAAATATGTACTAATGAGAGAATTGTCTTGAGGGTGAAGCATGTGTTCTTGTATTTCTATTGCAATTTGACACTTGTTCTGTTGTAGCCATCCTGGATCTATTTAGCAATGGKAATAATGAAGGATGACTGTTGAGCTGTATTTCTTATAATTTTCTTGTGTGAGTTGTTTTGATTCTGATGTTGTGTTGTAAAAGTTTTGTCTTCTCTGTCTGTTGGGCTGCTTCCAGTACAGAGGTTTATTACGAGTACAGAAAKGTGCCTCTGCTGAGCTGGTTCAGTTTACAATTTGATGTCTTGGTGCTTGTTTCAGTTTGATTTATTGTATGCCAGAAGTGAGCTACGGCCTCTGTTAGAAGTTCACATGCCACGTTCTGCTGCAAACGGCACAGTTGTTTAGAAGCAAACCTTTTGAAACTGAGCATGGTGGTCCCATCCCTCTCTGCTGGGATGGAGAGAACAGGATGCATGGCTGTACCTTTGCCTCTAATTCTGGTTAGAGACGTCAGGAAGGACATTTTTTGCCACTGTGGTGACACACACATAGCAACTTGAAAGGGGAGGCAGGAGATGGCTGCAGGTGGCGGCTGTCAGAATAGGACAGCCTTGCCTTTTCAGGGTGACAAATGCCTGGTGCTCCCTCTGCTCTGCTGAAGAAATTCTTTTCTGGTGCAGAGCCTGACCCCAGCGTTCTGTGCCTTAAATGAGATTATTGTAATGCCTCTGGGAGTACATGGTGTTCCAGAGCAGCGTTCTCCCTGCGAGGAGCGGGGAGGCTCTGAGCCTGCTGCGGTTGTACTGCAGCAGGGCACTGGCTATATATAAGTGGGGATAAAACTTGGACAAGGGAGTGAGAGCATATTGTGCTGAAGCTCTGGGTTTGAATGCCTTTTTAGTTATTTGAAAATAAATTTTGAGCTGAATAATTCGACATTTTTATCAGAAAGTGTAATAAAAATGTATTAGCATTATTCCCTTGCTTTCCATTTAAGTTTTCTCATTTTTTCCTGGGAATATATGTGTTTTCATAACACATTTTCAGAGTTCTGTTTGGACAGCAGTCCAGTGAACTGATAATTTTATATATAAAGTGAAGTCTGAGGGACAGTTTTCTTCAGGAGATGTCTTGCTKCATTTTGAAAGGACAGATCTAACAAAGTGGGTGTTTTGCTGTTGGTTTTGGTTTTTTTTTTTCCCCCTCCACAGCTCCATGTACAATGTTGTCACTGAAAACTTTCAGGAACAAGATGAAGTTTTCTTCTTGTGATGCTGCTTCAGAATAGTGACTGAGAAGTAAAATGGGATTTGAAGGAAGCAAAAGTTTTGGGCTATTTGGTCAGCAAAACACAACCCAAGAGGAGGTGGTTAAGGCTGCTGTATAACAACTCTTTAAGGTGTTAAAAATGAAGAATGGGAAATGCATTGAGGGGCTGGGGAATCTGCAAGGGGAGAAAGYAAAGTGCTCAGCAGCACTTCCAGATCTTCCCTTCTTTTCCCCTTTGCCCTTGACCCATAGTCCTGAATATCTGTTTCTGTGCTGACCCTGTCTCGCTCCTTGTGTCCAGCCCTGATGGCCCTTTCTTTATTTTTGGTTTTCTTGTGCCTTTCTGCTCCAGGCTCAGCAGCTGGTGTCTGGCACAGGCTGKCAGGGTGCCAGCTGTGACAGAGGGCTATTGAAAATTGCAGGAGCTTTTTTGTTCCCTACCATGGCATCTGGGAGCTTCAGGAGAACAGTGAGGAAATCTTGCTTTTTCACCCTTCTTCATCTGTGTATAGAGAGTAATCCTGAACTGTGTTTGRCTTGTTTTATTTAGAGACACTCTTTCAGAGGTACACACGTTTCTGTTTCTGTCTGAAGAGGTATGGCATTATTAGAGGTAAGGTGCAATGTAGAGCTACTTTGGTTTTCTTTTTACTCTTCTCCATGCTGAAGAAAGCAAAAAGTGGTGGCCCATGAGGAAGCAGTGGCAGATGGAGGCAGGAGGGGTTGACAAGGTAGCAGCAGCAATCTGTAGGAGGAAAGTAGTTTTCAAAGAAGAATAGCCTCTGGTAGGGTGAGACAGAAGAAAGAAAAGGCAGCACTGAAATTCAGCTGCAAAAATATGGCTGCCTCTGACATACAGCATTATTCTGGACTAAATTTGTGTGACATGCCCTGGGAAAATGATATTTTTCTTTTGTACTGTTTTTTTTTCTTAAGTCCCCAGCTCACTCTAAAATGTGCTTTGCATTTTTAATGTGAGCCACACAGGTTTAGCTTTTTACTGTCAACAAAAACCACTTTGCATCTTATTTGTATCCTTGATACCAGCACTSAGCTCTTTGCAGGCTGACAGTGAGAAATAGCAATGCATCTCCACTCACATTAAATCTTCTTAAAAGATACCACTTTACCTTTGAGTTAACCTTTGAGTTAACTGGCTCATTCATATGCAGAGCTCATATGAGGAGATCCATAAGGAGCCTTAGAACCTGATTTTGTCAGATGATGCAGTCTGAAACTGTACTTGAAGATTATAAAGGAATGTAAGTATAGTATGGCTTCATAAAGATCTTGGAGACATAATGCCAGTAGTAATGACAGTGCCAGCAGAGCTGAGATATTAACTGCTGTCATCATTTGTTACAGGATGCAGTGGGTAGGGGACCTTGGATTAAATCGTCAGCACAATGGGTTTTTAAGCTAAGATAAAAATCTTATGAGTTCATTTTGCAAAWATACATAGGGGTAAAACAAATATATACCGTGTTATACCCCTCATGCCATATTTTTCATCACTTAAAATTTATCATGTCAGTCRGAAAAAGTATTTGAAAACACTTTTTTGTGATTTTATTTTGTGTCATTTTAATTTTGTCCTTTGTCCTCTTGATGGTTTGGGGATTTTTCTTAAGATGTGTCATGTATTCTATGATTGTCTTTGCAATTCATTTATCTGATAATTTGCTTTTTACCTTGTACTTGCATAAGCCTGGGGGATTCAACTGAGTTTTCTGAGCACTCATTGTTTGTTCTGCACTGTAGTTCTTGTTCATCCAATGTTTCTTCTGTTTCTGGCCTTCGTTGTGGAGTTCTGCTCTACTTCCAGTGGCTGTTCTCTGTGGAGTTCCAGAGCCCCTTTGTTTCCTCTCTTTCTCTCTCTGGTTTTTGGCTTCCTGGTTTTACTGCTGGTTTTCAGAACTTTTCTGGCAGGCTGCAGTCTGTGCTTGGTTAAAATAGGTGATCCAAATTCCTGAGCTAATCAAAGGCATCTTTAAGTGTTTCCTCAGATCAGTGGTCTGTTGGCATGCTCAGGCTGTTGCTGGTATTTTCTATGAAGGTGGAGAGGATGCAGCATACTCAGAACCTGCTGATGTTGTGAACTATCAATTCCAGACGAGTCAATGTTCTAAGTGTTTATATGAAGTTCGATGTAACAAGCTGGCAAATGAGTCTGAATGTCTTACGGAAAATTCTTTTAAATTGAGAAACTATTCCCATCCATCACAGATATTGCTTGTCTGATACCATGCCTGCTCTGATTCTCTAATGATTCAGGACATTATTGGGTTTTGTTCAGGCCTGCTTTTTAGTGTTAAGCTAGGAATTAGCTATTGATACTGAATACCTGGCACCTGGCCTTGAGGGTGTGGAGTATTCTGCAGCTGCTGAAGTTGCCTGSTGCCAGGAATCTGAGAGAAAACCAAGAAATACCTCTGCCTCTATTACCTGTGCTAGTTTCTCTTTAGTTAAAATTAAAATGAAAATAAAAACAAAACCTGCAAACTTAATTATGAGGTTTGACTTAGTTTTCTGTAATCACCATTACTAAAAACATCATGGCTACTGCACTGATTTTTGAAGTCCTCGACCAYACTGCTGCCTTTTGCCTGTCCCAGGGTAGCTGTGACCCTACAAGGTTGCTTGCTGGACTCTCAGCTCTGGGGTGTTGCAGTGAGACCATAAAGGCTTGTCCAGCCTTCAGACCTGAGAGGTACCAAGTGTGACTGTGTGAGGCAGAAGCATCTTTGCCAACAGGTTAGCCAATCTAGGGAGGACAGCTTTAAAAAGGAACATGAGGGGAAGAAGATGGCAGCCCGCAACTGAGTGAGGAAGCAATTATAATCTCGGGAAACTTGCAAAAGAATCAGGAGCAGAGAGAGGGCACCATGCAGCTCATGGGTAGGTTGCCACTTACAGGGCCTGGAAAAATAGGCTGTCAGAAACATCATGATGTTCAACAAAAGCAAATGCAAAGTCCTGTATGTGAGCAAGAATATCCCCACACACTACAATAGGCTGTGGTTGGAACTC